TGAGCACGCCCTCGATAGCGTGAATAAAATGGTCAATTTCAGTAAGCATAATGGGGCATTAGATTGTAGTCCGCTCTCGGTGTGCCTAAAAAGTAGAGTATTACTTTACTTGGTATAAAACAGTAGAAAAGTAGACCATTATGTTACTATAAAATTAGTTTACTTTAATTAAGGATTAATTAAAACACCTTACTATACATACCACAATTTCTGAAAGACATCCTTCTCGCATTTGCGCCAAAAATGCACGCCAATAAAACGATTGTAACAAATTTGAAAGCCATTGTGAAAATATTCTTCGATCGTTCCTCTTGCTGCGAAATCAGAATACGTTTTGAATGGAGACCGTGTTTTTGCGCAGATTTATACATATGTGAATTTGCTGAAATGAAGCTGGATAAATAACCGCCTTTGTAACAATAAAATGATTAATTAAACTATATGGACATGCATAATTTAAAATGGCTAAAATTAAAAGCAATCTGTTTAAATAAAATGTTATTCAGAGCAAAGGCTCGCCATAGTTTTTAATTAAGATATACCTTGAAAAGCATACTGAAATTCTAAGAATTAATATATTGAATTTTAACTTATTTTATTAAATGGTGACCACTTTTAAATTCTACTTTCCCCAATACACAAAGCCTTACGAAACTCTTTCTCAAAGGAAGTATACTTCAGAATTACACTGAGAACCAACAGTTTGAAGTTTAGACTAGTGAGAATCTACTAGTCACGGCAAAGGACGTGTATTTCAAGACCACTACCTATACACTGAGAACCAACAGTTTGAAGTTTAGACTATAGTGAGAATCTACCACAAAGGACGTGTATTTCAAGACCACTATACCTACACTGAGAACCAACAGTTTGAAGTAATTTAGACTAGTGAGAAACTACTTCAAAGGACGTGTATTTCAAGACCACTACCTATACTGAGAACCCACAGTTTGACGTTTAGACTAGCGAGAATCTACCACAAAGGACATGTATTTCAACACCACTACCTACACTGAGAACCAACAGTTTGAAGTTTAGCCTAGTGAGAATCTATCACAAAGGACGTGTATTTCAACACCACTACCTACACTGAGAATCAACAGTTTGAAGTTTAGACTAGTGAGAATCTATCACAAAGGACATGTATTTCAACACCACTACCTATACACTGAGAACCAACAGTTTGAAGTTTAGCCTAGTGAGAATCTATCACAAAGGACGTGTATTTCAACACCATGCACTACCTACACTGAGAACCAACAGTTTGAAGTTTAGCCTAGTGAGAATCTATCACAAAGGACGTGTATTTCAACACCACTACCTACACTGAGAACCAACAGTTTGAAGTTTAGGCTAGTGAGAATCTACCACAGAGGACGTGTATTTCAAGACCATGCACTACCTACACTGAGAACCCACAGTTTGAAGTTTAGGCTAGTGAGAATCTACCACAAAGGATGTGCTTTCTCATGCATGTGTACAAAGCTTTTTAAACGTTACAAAACATCGCCCTTTTTTGTCATTAGAATACAAATGTCTGAAATTGATTTTTGCCTTATGCCAATCATTTTATTTAAACAGCGCGTTTGTAAAGTTTGCCTTCAAAAATTGGATTTTAAATATAGAAATACTCAATTAATTTCTCGTCCTTTTGACAAATAAAAATTAATTAGGTTTCAGACGAAATCGAAATTGTTAATGCTCTTTTATATGTCTCTAAGCTTGCTTGATCATGAATAACACTGATCATTTTTGTCAGTGTTATTAACAAATTAGTTTCATTTATAACAGTTATAAATTTAATTTAAATACGCTCAACTTAAGTTGGTACTATTCTGATCTCTGCAGCGAACTGCTGAAATCTTCCTTGTCAACTTTGATGAAATTTGCGAAATATTTTCATCGGACGTTTTGACAAGCTTTTTGGCAAAATCAACCAAGCCTTTCGCAGATTGACTTGCTACAGTAGACTGGCTGTCGTTCTTAGAAATCGCGTTTGTAACATTCGACTGTTTTCTGGTAAAACTTTTGCTTGGTTTATTTTTGAGCTCGCGAACTTCTTCGACTTTATCAAGTCCTTTGCTCACGCCAGTACCAATGAGGCCGCCGAGAAATCCACCAATCATAGCGCCTAAAACGGGCACGGGGATGACAATCTGACCAATCATGGAGCCCGTACTTCCCGCCACAAGTTGACAACCCGTCTGACGCACTTTCCGTATGACAGTGCCTCTGAATTCGACCTCCGAAATCTCGCCAGCATTACGTAATTTTCTCGCGTGCGATAACGCGCGAATCGTGATGACCGCATCCACGGCTAAGGTAAACGCGAATCCAGCGGTTGCATGTCCGAGGGTCGAAGCCGTAGCACTTAAGCCGAGCGTCGCCGTGTTCCCTGGAGCCGACTTTTGCACCGTTTTAAAAGTATCTTGAAACGTCTCTTTGCAATACAATTTAAACTCTCGACTTTGTATATATGTCTCATAATCTTCTAGTAACTGGTCGGCGCTGTTTTCCCTCTTTAATCGCCTCTTTGGTATACCCAAAAAAATGAAGTGTACTGTGTATTGAAAATATGTTAAAACTAACCGATCTTCCGTATAAATGCCATGCGAAGTCCCGTCCACAGTTCCTAGAATTATCAATCCAAATTCCTTTTCAAAATAATCGGGCCGCAAGGTGAGCCCTGTTTCATTCCCTATTGATGCAACAAATAAATCCGCGTCCGCATAGAGCCAGTCTTTCAACTTTCCCGTTAACTTGATCCACAGAAACACGAACATTTTATAATAATCCAATGGAAATTTTATGTGCAAGTTCCTGAAAGAATTCCTCTGCAAATAGTAGTCGAATTCTTGCAATAGTTTTGGACTGATACATCTCTCGACCTTCGCGTAATCCATGTTGACTTTTCAAAAGCATTAAAGCTTCACTGACTGACGTACTTATATGGGCTAATCCTTTTCGGGATCGAGCTGAGTTGAAGCATCCCACTGATAAAGCCATAAAGGGTCATTAAACTGACCGTTAAACTGACCACGAGACCTTCCCCATGATGACGGATAAAAAATTCAAACAGCGCCTTCCTATCTTGAGACTGACTATGGTTTAACCGTTAAATTTGTTGTTTACATCATTGAAAACTACATGATTGAAAACTCGAAGTTGACGCAAGAAATGCCGCACTATATAAATTATATAAATTTGGAAGAGATTCGAAACATACTGAGTAACGATATTTTGTATTGTCTGACGATTTAATTATCTGCCTGTCGATTCAGATTTGTGCAATGAAAACATAAATTTATAATGAACACGATCGGAATGCGTACATATTTATGTTGCTATATCTTCACCGCATATCGAAGTAATTTAAAGTTGCGCCTCTTATGATACGAAGGATGGATAAGGAGGTGGTTTCTTGATGTTATAAATAGTGTTTTATGTGGTTTTTGCAGCGTTATTCATTTGTTATTGGGACACTGTATAGGTTCGTCTATTCCACCTTTTGACAAAAACCATTTGCTTCTATTAGAACAAGATGAACAAATTTTTGATTGATTCTGCATGACAAAACGATTGACAAGTGTCACCAGTTTGAGGAATAAGACGTTTTTAACACGCAAATGCTCAGACGTGATTAAGTGGCTAAGCAAATTAGTGTGTGGTTTGTTGTGCTAACGAGATGACCACTTAAATAATTGATTACCGTGAAAATACGTGAAAATTTGAATATTCTGAAAAGCCCATAAGCAGGGCTCCTTTGTCAGTAAGATATTTTATAAGGTGTCAGTTCCAAATGCTGTTTCATCGTTTGACAATTAAGATAATTTGTCAGTTGTTTCCTAAAGTTTAAGCCATGCAGATTGTCAGTAAGGTATCTTTTTAAGATGTCAGTTCCAAATTACTGTTTCAGCAAACGATAAAAAAATGCTGGCAAATTGCAAATGTTGGACCCTTACCCTACATGCTCAGTTAACCTGCTCTGCAGTCATAAATGTTCTCAAAAAATATACTGATTCATATAGCAATAACTAACGATTTCTTGCCAGAAACATATTAAGCGTAAATTAAATTACGCAAAATATTCATAAGCCAGTCGAAATGACAGTTGAGGTATATATTCCGCATTGTTGATTCCGGAGATAGTGGGACAAGTACTGGGTAAGCGCGTCATTTGGTATCCTGTAAACGCCACTTGTGAGAGATAGTTATCGTCTAGTAATCTGCCTGTGCAGAAGTGGCATAAATTGCGATAATCGCTCGTTAATTATATTCATAACAAATCATTAATATTCATTATGATGACGTCATAATGGTGTACCGGAAGTAACCGCGTTGGCCTGGGTACTAAAAACAACGATCGCGATGCTTTGTGGGATACATATATTCAAATTTCATACATTTCTTTGAATTCTCAAAATTTTGTCACAAAAAATCTCGACTCAGCAAAATATTGAAGATTTTCTCAAATAAATTGTTCAAAATGGTAGATGAATTTATCGAGGTTAGGGTAAGTGATCAATATACGTTCTATAGATGTAACGGTTTTGTTTTTTGAATGATTTTAACGTTTGAAAAATCGATATGGAACTTGAATGATGGAGCTTGGGCCCACGCCATTTTTTAATCAAAATCGTTCTCAAGAAAGCACTTCAGAGCTTCGAATGCCAATGCTTTGTTCTTGAGACTTAAATTAAGGGAAGAGTTGTAAATTAACGTTCAATGTACAATGTTTAAACTTGAAATTAAGAAATTGTTTTACAATTTAGCATATGGTGAAATCTTTCCGCGTAGCCGAGCTTCAAGAACTCCTTGGCTTCGCAAATCGTTCAAAGACCGGAAGAAAACATCAATTAATGGGTAGAGCGTTAGACATGTTGAAATGTGAACCCGGGCCCAAAGTACGGGCAAAAATAAGCGAGCTTTACGGGAATAGATTTCCGCGTCGAATGTATTCGGCACCTTATATCCCGAGACAAGCTTTCAGTTCTGGTGTGTATTCAAGTATGGGGGAGTCGAGTCGAAGTGCGTCCCTATTGGCTCCCCAGAGGCCTAGTCAGTCGTCGTCGTCGTCGACATCGTTGCCCGTCCACCCTGATGTGAAATTGAAATCTTTGCCATTTTATGATTTTAAGGATGAGCTCGTCAGGCCACACTCGCTGGGTAGGTCATTTTAGAATTCTAAGAAAATTTCAATACTACTTTACGACCGTCGGAATTACAGCGCTTGAAATAACAGCCAATCATCCCATTCAATTGTATTGCACCCTACTTTATTATTTTCTGTCTAACACCAAAATATTCAGCCCTCGAAAAGCGTCAAAATTGAGGTCGGAAAAAAAGTGCCGACCTAAATCTGACCCATTTTCCATGTCTTGGAGCACTAGTAGTCGTGCGTATTTACGAATCATTGAAATTGGAATATAAATGTGAACTACAGTGACACGACAGCTTTTCTGTTGGACTACAAATCAAATTCTATAGTCGCTGACATTTTAGTTTTTGACTGAATTAAGGTTGGCAAAAATTTGCTGACCTGGGAGGTTGATAGGTCGGCATTTGCCGAATGCTGACCTCGTTTTGGAGGGCTGGATTATTTTAAATATTCATCAAGGGCAGAGAAATGGCTCTCAATGGGTGAAAGTTAAACCAACTGTTGAGAAAATAGATATGCTGCCCCTTAAATGAACCTATTCAGTGCCAGCACTTTTCCTTAACAAGTAAAATCATATTGTCTGGCTTTAGAAAGAGTAAATAACAAAATTGGGTGGAATGTCACTAAATAAGGCTATGTTTGCACTATACCGGGATAGCTTTCTATAGCGGTGCAAAAAAGCACCTATTTGATACAACTTTCAGAAGCTGAGCAAAACAACATCTCTCTATTGCAATATTAGAGAGTTTGCCATTCACGTTGCGGCTAGAGAAGACGTGTTCGAAATGTTTGGTAACTAGTGCGGCCAACACGTCTTGTGTAATTCTGGCAACATCTTGCGTGTAGTCGACGATTGACATTTTCACGTTGCGATCACTACGCTGTGAATTTCAAGTGAGTATTGAATACTTTTACATTGAAAACGTGAATTTAAGTAATTAACTTTCTATTTTTGATGAAGTAGTACTAACCTTTGACTACACTTTCTGTGGTGTTAAACAAAAATTACAAAGATTTTGAAAAACCTACAATTTTCCCGCCAAAATAACCTTTTTTACGCAAACGCGTTGTATTTGATAACGACATAGGGAACAGAATAAGATGACGTGGCCCAAGCCGCGCTAGTTACCAAGCCTTTCTAACACTAACACTTCTTTCACTGTGTTGTGAATCGTAAACTCTTTAATTCCTATGAAAATAGACATGGATAGGGTTTTTTGCGTCGCTACGGAAAGCTGTCAGGTCAGTTCAGCTAACCATAGCCTAAATATGCATTTGTGTGTTCAGTACCTCAAGGCAAAAGTTCAAGATTTCAAGATTCGTACATTTTATTTCATCTATCTCCACAACAAGTAAATGAAGTTGTCAGTTCGAGGTAAGCTACGTAAAGTTACTACAAAACAACATAATATTGCTAATCCTGATGGGCTACATTAATTTAATTGCTTGACGTAGCGGGTTAAACATTTACCTGATGTCCAATGGTCTTTCTTTAGGGACACAAGACCAATGTCGAGCAGCGAATACAATGTTCAAATACAGTTAAGGTTAGAGGGAAAAATATCTAGAACATTATGTTTCCATGTAAATATTTGTAATCAGTAATACTCAACATGTGATGTTCAAATCTGTTTTGACTAGCTAATGCTACGATGCAACATACCAGCTGGCAATTTGCAAGTGATAACAGGATGTGAATAACATTAAAAATGCTCATATTAAATACTGTATATAATAGATTAGGCCAAAAAAAAAATATATGGGTTTCCGGTTTCTTCTCATAAAAACTTAGGCAGGGTAGGTCGATTTTAACTTCTTTTTTTTAACTTTTTTTTTAATTTCCCAACAAGCGGACGCCATTTTGTTTAGTCAGTGCTTCCACATCCAAAGATAAATTTCCCTAATATTGCCTCAAATTTCAATTTTCCACAAACTTTTTCCTCTAAGTGGAAACACTTACAAGCATGATCCAATAAAAAAGTTTAGGGTCGGGATTTCGACGTCCAAAAGCTAGGTAGGGTCGGGAAACCGGAAACCCACATATTTTTTTTGCTTGCCTTATGGTCAGAGGGTGTCTCAAATTTACTATCATGATAGCATTAAGTATTTCAGGGCTCAAGATTAGCGGTATCCCTATATCCACGGGATACCAGATTTCAATTTTGGATACTAGATATCATAGGGGTACTAAAAAATCAAAATAAGGGATACTAGATTTTAAGACCTTTAGTATCCACTTGGATACCAGTAAAAAATTCAAATCTTGAGCCCTGTATTTGGGGTGTTACAGCATGGAATACACTTTACTTCCAAGTTCTCCTTCGCTTGTTCGACTCCAATGGCAATTTTATTCCTCAGGGTTCCCTACAAGAGCAGGCGTCCAGTTTACCGTCTATAGCATAGGCAATCGCTGGTTGTTTCTCAAAATTATATTAAAAAACTTGTTAATAATTCATCAAGAAAACACAAAAGAAATCATCCAGCGTGATGGGGTCTGTATATGTGATACAGATTCATGTTGATTTACATAAACTTTAACTCTGATTTTCTCGGCTTAGACAACGTTTATTTTTAAAATTACTTTGCCAATGAACTCATAAGATGAGTCGTTTTTAAGCCATTTACAACATTCGCGTCTGTGTTGTATCGGATATACAAACTCTCGCCTTCGGTTCGAGTTTGTATATCCGATAATATCAGTGTTTTCAATAAGAGGCAGTTACCAGCGGTTTACCGCCGCCTATTTCGCCTCTGACAGCCGGTTATTTTTTCGTTTACTGTAATTTTCTAGCGACATTAGATTGTATTATTTTATTGAAAATAGTATAAAGCAAGTAACTAGGGATCCAAGGATAGTGTAAAGTTTCAAATTGAAAAAGACACGGCAAGAACTGTATAAGGTCGCCGACAACCTAGAACAGTAAGAGCAGGCATAGGCTAAAGCAGCCATAGGCTAGAGTAGGCACGTTACTCAAAAATGTGGATTAGAACAATGTTTTTAGGGGATAAACAATTCCTTATCACTCCCTTCGTAACTCGTTTATTAAATGTTTAATTGCAAGAGCTCTTATTTGGGCATGACGACTTTCTGTTTTGTAAAGTTGATGGCTTACACTACAAAATAAACTGTTACCATGATCCTCTTGGAAAGCATACTCATGCATGTCTTTTCAAAAATAGACTTGAAGCCGTACTATTACCTACACTAATCCTATACAGATGAGTATTATATTAAAAGTTAATATTATCACTAAAATTAAGAGCAACATATTATCACAAAATTTTAAGGTGGGGAGAAGAAAGAAGTCCAAAAATTTTTACTGAAAACCTAAAGGGTTGAAATTTGGCTTTCACTTGAAATGTTTGAACGCAGACGCCTATTTTTGAAATGCAGCCTGCTATGATGATTATTATTGAAAACACTGCCGATACAACACGGATGCGAATGTTGTAAATAGTACAAGGATGGCTTAGACTATCAAAGTTTCTGTGATCACAGTAGGAATTTTGCATAGATAAATTCTAAGTTTTGAAGGATTTGTAAGAAATGTTTGAGGAAACTGACTTAGTATTTAACAATGAGTCAATTCCCTATTAATTTAAACACCACATATCTGTCTGTTTCTGCTGTCTATTGGGGGGGGGGGGGGGTGTCAACTTTTGGTAATAAAATGTATAGGGTATCTGAAAGGGCAAAGGGGGTTAACTTCCAATTTCCTTTGTGGGGATACCCATTTTGTGTATTTTATTTTCAGATTTTGTTTACTTGAGACAAGTTGTGAACAAGATGATTTGTATCCACATTCTGCTGGCTTGAAAGTGAATGGAAAACTTTGTCAGTTACCTGTAAGCTTCGGGAAACAATACAATTTGTTACAGTAACATTATATTAATGAGACATTTATTGATTCTTGTCAGACAGTGTTCCTCGTATGTTTTGCAGAAGCTACATATTTGCTATGTAAGCTGTGAAAAGTTGAAAACCATAACTTCATGGCCAATAATGGAATGTAACATTTATTTAATTCTAGGGCTTCGTACCACGTGACAATAAAGGCGAACACAAGAAATGTGGTCGTCCAGTGGACATAACATCCTATTGTCGACTGTCGTCCACTATACCTAACCATATTCACGTCACATGGGAACAAGATCCATTACAGGTACTTTAGGTGTCTTTCAAAACATTGCATTGAAAGGGTACTTGACACAGAGAGGAATGGCTATAACTGTTTCAATTTTACAGAAAAACGTTTGTATGAAGTGTAGACCCTGAGCGACCAAAAATGTCAAATTTTTGCTTTGATCTATCATTGAAACTTTCCCAAGGGAGGAGTTCTTTGTGTCACATTTCTGAATGCGGGAAATGATATTTCTGAAACATTAAAGTTATTTATTCTCATTCCTGCAGAGGTTTGTTGTGACGGTTCATCTTGTCAGAAAAGTGACGTCCAGTTGTTTGATACAGAGGTTAAAAATACGAGGAAGACGAAATCCTGATCACTCCAGAGCGCTAAGTAAGTCAATGATGACAATTTAGTTTTCTGCATTCCCCATTGTAATCTCCAACACTACCAGAAAAGACAAAACTGATTGGTGGTCAATATAATCCACCCAATTATTCCTCCCCACCCTTTTGTTCCTCCC